GTGTGTGTGTGTGTGTGTGTGTGTGTGTGTGTGTGTGTGTGTGTGTGTGTGTGTGTGTGTGTGTGTGTGTGTGTGTGTGTGTGTGTGTGTGTGTGTGTGTGTGTGTGTGTGTGAGTGTGTGTGTGTGTGTGTGTGTGTGTGTGTGTGTTTGTGTGTGTGTGAGTGTGTGTGTGTGTGTGTGTGTGTGTGTGTGTGTGTGTGTGTGTGTGTGTGTGTGTGTGTGTGTGTGTGTGTGTGTGTGTGTGTGTGTGTGTGTGTGTGTGTGTGTGTGTGTGTGTGTGTGTGTGTGTGTGTGGGGTTGTGTGTGTGTGTGTGTGTGTGTGTGTGTGTGTGTGTGTGTGTGTGTGTGTGTGTGTGTGTGTGTGTGTGTGTGTGTGTGTGTTTGTGTGGGTGTGGGTGTGGGTGTGGGTGTGGGTGTGTGGGTGGGTGGGTGTGTGTGTGTGTGTGTGTGTGTGTGTGTGTGTGTGTGTGTGTGTGTGTGTGTGTGTGTGTGTGTGTGTGTGTGTGTGTGTGTGTGTGTGTGTGTGTGTGTGTGTTTGTGTGTTAGTGTGTGTGTGTGTGTGTGTGTGTGTGTGTGTGTGTGTGTGTGTGTGTGTGTGTGTGTGTGTGTGTGTGTGTGTGTGTGTGTGTGTGTGTGTGAGTGTGATTGTGTGTGTGTGAGTGTGTGTGTGTGTGTGTGTGTGTGTGTGTGTGTGTGTGTGTGTGTGTGTGTGTGTGTGTGTGTGTGTGTGTGTGTGTGTGTGTGTGTGTGTGTGTGTGTGTGTGTGTGTGTGTGTGTGTGTGTGTGTGTGTGTGTGTTTTTCCCCCGGGTGGTCCGGATTTTTCTGGTCTTGCCGCACATAATGATTCAGTTGGTCGATGCGTTTTTGGCTTTGTTTTTTTGAGGGTGGCAGTTGGTGTTGGTTTGTTTTGGTGGTGGGGTTAAAGGGAAACCACAAGTAGAAGCGAAGCCACCTTGGGGGAGGGGTTTGGGGAAAAAAAACAAAAAAAACATAGATCCATCGAGTGGGTGCGATCGGCCCCTTTTTGGAACATTGGTACCCAAAAAGCCACCATAGACTCTGTGCAGGAACCGGCTCACGGCTCCTAGAGCATGTCCTTTTAAGGGGCCCCCGGTGCAGGCTCCATGCTTCAATGATTGTTGAGTGGGTACTTTTTTTGGACGGCTGTAAAGGGAAGCACCTTCTTAGTGGTCATGAGTTGATTTCGCTTTCAAGTCCTCATTCTAGGTCCCCCAGCTAGGTGCCCCTTCTCTCCCCCTTTTTGGGGGAGGGTTCCCCTACTAAAATAGACTACATGAAAAAGGTACCCTTATTCGAACCTCCAAAACTGGAGAACCTAGAATTGTTAAGAGCCCCTTAGCGTATGTAAGCTTGGGATTAGTCCGGAGAACTCCCCTATGGAACCTCCGGATTATTCCGATGGCAGTACGGAACCTTGGCCTCAGACATTCTTGTTGAGTTGGCAACCTTGAAAGTTGTTTGTTTGCATTGGACTTGGTCGAACAAAGTTCGTTTAAAGGCTTACAGACCTTGTCCCACTAAACAAAGTAAAGGGAAAGCCACAAACGCCAGTGTGTCTCCATTCAAGAGAGTTTGAGCATTTACATGTCTTCCTCCAAAAGTGTTTTGCTTGGACTTCCCCTCATGGAAGTATTTCACAAACTCCAAGCTATGTCCACTTGCAGACGGAACGCAATAATGGTTGGTTCCCTCTGAAGGTATTATTTGCCCCTTAGATCTGTTCCAGGAATTCTTTGCTCCTTAGGTCCTTTGGAAGTTGTTAGATGTTCCGAACACGAAGGTCTTCCCATCCTACCCTAAGAATCTTGGTACCTAAAAATTGTTGCGTTGAGGCCTCAAACCTTCCAATGGAGGTCCGATTCGACCTCTATCCAGGGTCCCTAATCTGGTGCTTATCGGGAAGTTCCAGTTTGCAGGACCTGCTTTTACTAGGTCCCCCAGTAGTGCCTCTAGTAGTGCCTCTCTACCCTTTTTGGGGGGGAGGGTTCCCCTAAGATAGACAAAGCTGAAAAAAAGTGGGTACCAACTTATTCTAACGTCTGAAATCTGGAGGACCTATCCCCGTAAAGTACGAGACTGGGCATGGCCATATGTGACCTTGGGATGGTTTGTCTTGAGAGGACTCCAACCACTCGCTGGTTGAGTTGGCTAGGTCGACCTCCACTTCCGAAGGATTCCTCGTGTGTCTGGGATAAACCCGCCAGGGTGGAACCTTTCCTTTGCTTTGGTGCATGTTGCCAAGGGATGTTAGGACTTTAACTGTTTGCCAACTAATGGGTTTTCCGTATCAAACCACTAAAAGTTATTCACTTTTTGCAGGGGAGCAGAAGTTTGCTTTCCCTGTAAAACCACCCCAACAGGGCTAGCCTCCAAGGCACACCCAGTGAATTCCTTTTGGGGGTTGGAAAAACCAGAGCCTCAGATCCGGTGGGTATGTCTGTTTGTGGGTTCCCTTTTAGGGTTACTTGAAAGGGAAACAGAGGAAACCACCTTTTTGGGAAGGTCCCCTTAACTCCTGCAGCATTCAGCATTTGGGCGTCCAAACCGGCCGAAGGCTGGTCAGGACGTGTGCACCCGGAAGGGCATACTCAAGGGATGCTGATTTTCTTGCCGTTTTGCATGGCTTTGTGCTTCGCAAAGACGTAAAGTTCTAAGATGCTTCCCACTACCCACACGAAAACTGGGTATCAACCATTGATGTATGTGGCTATAGTGTGGTTTTATGTCCAATACAACCCTGAGGGGTAGTGGAAACCTGCTTGGAATAAGTATTGCGGTGCAAAACACAAGTATGTGCCCCGTGTCGGGTGTAGCCTCAAGGTGCTACAACTCAATACTCTGTTGACTTTTGGCCACCAAACATATGTGGGTTATGAGAAACCAGGGCTCAAGGCTAGGAAGCTCGGCAGTTGATAACTGTCAGTCTTAGAGACGAGTAACTACTTTAAGATGTTTTTTGAGGGAACCTTTTTTGGTGCTGTGTACAAGGTTTTGTGACTGAGGTTCCGTTTGGTTTGTTACTGCTTCATGTTTTGCTTGCCAGTCTGAAAGAGAGTCCTTCTAGGTCGGGTGATGTTTGGTTGCGGATGTTGGAGTTCTGTTATGCGCACTGGATTCCAAAGGAGAACTATCCCTGTTTGGTCCCTGCGGGCCGTGATTTTGAGAAATCCATTTGGGATGTTGAAAGATAGGGGCCCAACAAATGACTGTATCTTGTTGGGTTCCGTTTGGGTTGCATTGTTTATTGTACCTCCTTTGGAGTTGCCTTAAACGGAACCCAACAGGAGAAAAGAACGGTTTGGGGCAGATCCATTTGAGCGGCGCCCAAAACCCTTATTGGCCATTAGTACGTTCTACCGCAGCCTCGTGTTTCAACCTTTTAAGAACGTTGTCAGGGTAAGGCCATAGAACAAAGCGTCAGCAGGGGTTTTGGGGTGCTTCGGTGGGCGTTTCAACCCGGCTTGATGCACTCCATTCAGGGAGGGTGGTTCAAGGGGGGGCCGAGGCTTCTAAGGAACCCCATAGCAAGACCCCACCCCCCTTGCACCTACCCGGATGGGTTTCCACAACCTAAGAAGATAGGGATCCCTCAGCGGAATCCCCAATACGTCGAGTCTCGGAATCCCCTCAGCGGGATCCCTCAGCGGATCCTCAACCCTAAGGAAACCCTAGGAACTACTGGGGTCATGATTCAACTGTTTCTGGGGGAGGGGGTATCAAAGTCAGAAAATGGAAATGGTTGTTTCCCTTCAACCCTCTGAACGGGGTGACTTTGATGGTAGAATAATGAGGCCAGAACAACCTTATAACCCACTTTCTAAGTCCCTCAAAAGTGGGGTTAACCCAGGCTAGTTGTGAGATCGCCGCACGCGGTCCCCACTTGCTAACTTGGCGAATCGAAAGGAGTATCCACCCCCCTAGGTCCCTCAGTAATGCCCTTTTACCCTTTTTTGGGGGAGGGTTCCCCTACTTCAATAGACTACAGAAAAAAGTTGGTACTCTTATTCTAACCTCTCTACTGGAGGACCTAGCCCCGCAAGGGACCTCGCTTTTTTCGTTTGATTCGGATCCGACTGGCCGCTCGGAGCGCAAGCAGCGCAAGCCGCGCAAGCCGCGAGCCAGGTGAAGGAGAGCGAGTGGATTTTGGCCCTGGCTGCGGTACCTCCCAGCGCCGGCAAAGTGAGGGCTGTGGATCACACCAGCGCTTTGGCCGAAGTCCGGGGGGGGTGGGGTGGGGTGGGGTGGGGTGGGGTGGGGTGGGGTGGGGTGGGGTGGGGTGGGGTGGGGTGGGGTGGGGTGTGGGGTGTGTGGTGGGGTGGGGTGGGGTGGTGGGGTGGGGTGGGGTGGGGTGGGGTGGTGTGGGGTGGGGTGGGGTGGGGTGGGGTGGGGTGGGGTGTGGGGTGTGGGTGTGTGTGTGGGGTGTGGTGGGGTGGGGTGGGGTGGGGGGTGGGGTGGGGGGTGGGGTGGGGTGGGGTGGGGTGGGGTGGGGTGGGGTGGGGTGGGGTGGGGTCCTTCAAGTTTCTGACGTACCAGCTTCCGGACGGAGAATTAAACAAGTTTTTTCTGGAAGCTGAGAAACGGCTATTGCATCTAAGGAAGAATCTGATGAAGAACGCGCTGCACAGACTTTTGCTGGTAATGATCGATCTTGGATGTGTTGCAGGGCAAATCTGGCGCCGGTTGCGGCCAAAAAAAAAGCTCGAGTTTCCTGTGCTTCGCGTCGTGGCTCGTCGTGGCTCTACCTTGGGGCCTAAAGTGTTTCAAGCACTTGTGCACCTTGAACACAGCGTTTGTGATTTTTACCTTAAGGATTAGCGTGTTCCTAGCATTTGTGTGGCTTGAACACATCTCCCCGTGTTGGTGTTTCCAGAGCTGGGGTATTGATCGATAAAAGCTTGTGAGAGAATTCGGCAAGCAGCCGTTTTCAACGCCCAAGCTTTTTGGCGGGTTTACCTTGCCCTTGTCGACCGCAGGACGGGTCGGCAAGCCGCTCGCCCCGCCGCGCGTTTGGTCGATCAGCCTTGACTTCGAAGGACTCATGGCCTCAAAGCCGATCACGGCCGTGAACGCCTTGACGGGCAAGCAGCCGCTTCAGGCGGGAGGGAGGGCAGGGCTGCAAGAGCTTGTAAGCCGCTGGCCAGGCCCGCCCGCTCCTCAACTGGACCGGCTGTCTGAGTGGCAAGGCGCGGTAAAAACTCGACCTCCAAAGCGAGTGTCGGGTTGTTTTCGTGGCCGGGAGCGTCGCATGAGTGAGGAGCATTGAGCGGCTCTCGGCCGGCCGCTAGACCTCACGTACGTGGTGGCGTCGCCGCTGTGAGCGTAAAAGACCGCGCTATGACAACGGTGTGGCCCTGCACTTATGTGAGTAGGGGCCCCAACCCAAGCAAAGCCCAGCCCGGCCCAGCCCAGCTCGCCTATAGACAGCAAGGCTCCACGACAATAATCAGATACTGGTCCTGCTCTTAAACTGGGCTTTTTTTGAAACATCTGTCTTTCCAAACACTTCCCCGTCGTTGGGTGATCGACCGGGAAGGCCTTGCCGTGTCTAACGCGGCGAGCTCGGTTCATGGACATGTTCCACTGAAGCCATCGCAGAGTGGCCCTGCAGGTCTGTGTGGCCTTTGCGAACTCTGATGGACTGGACGGGGGCAAACAGGGGAAGGGAGTGTTTGAAAAATAGACTAGGTTGACGCGCCGCCGTTACCCTGGTGCCAGGAATCTTCTTCTTCCTCCTCTTCCTCGACGTCGTCCACGCCGAAGAGGCGGAGGAGCTGCAGGACGACCTCCGGGAATCGGAGGCCGTCAACCTTTTTTTGCTGGAGGAGAAGGAGCGAGCGCATGGTTGGGCGGAGTGGCTCGAAGAGCACTGCCCCAACGATGTGCTGATGCGCTCCGACTCCGACTGACAGTCAGGAAAAAAGCTAGCTGGGGGCGGAAAGGGAGGGACGCAAGGTTTGTAAGTTCAAGGGTCCACGGTTCGAGGGTTGCAGAGACGAGGGGTTGAAACAGGTCGAAGAGTCAAAAAGGGTCAAAGCGTCGAAGGGTCAATGCTGAGGGGGCAAGGGTCGCACGTCAGGGACCATGACAGCAAAGGTTGGAGGAACGCAACCTCCCATGCGTTTGCTCCCTCACGCTGCGCATCCCAGTCAGCCGCTTGCTAGCGAACCCCCTTTCCACGCCTTTTGGCTTAAGGCCCCCTCTTTCAAAAGGGCGTTGCTCGTAACCAACTAAGCCATTGCAGCGCAGCGCTTGCGCTCTACAAGGATACACTGCGGAATTCGTCAACACATCCATGCGGCGGTGGGGTGGGGTGGGGCTGGGGTGGGGTGGGGTGGGGTGGGGTGGGGCTGGGGTGGGGTGGGGTGGGGTGGGGTGGGGTGGGGTGGGGTGGGGGTGGGGGTGGGGGTGGGGGTGGGGGCGGGGCGGGGCGGGGTGCGGTGGGGTGGGTGGGGGTGGGGTGGTGCCTTGCCCCAAGAAAGAAATCAGGCAAGCCTCAGTTGGTGGTTTGGGTTGGTGATTTGAGGATTCGAACGGAAGGCATTTTCCACCCTGTCCAGAGATCTTGAGATACATCCACGGCCACCTTGCAGAAAGCCCTTGGTTTTGGATTTGGATTTGAACCCGTTCTTGTAGAAAGTGTTTTTTGGAGATCAGTGGATCCCAGCTACCACTGGGGTAACCAACAATTGTCCGTTTGGTTTTTCGATTGGGTGGGAAACCCCTTGGTTCCTTTTCCTGCTGGTTACCCTTGAGCGGAGAGGCGGCTTTATCTTCCAGCCCTGCGATGCAGCGGCCAAATCCGGAGACGACTGCAAGGGCCGCTGGAAGGCGAGTCCGGCGATCTGCACTGGAATCCCGGTAGAATCAATCCCCACACCAGCAAAGATTTGGGGTGCCAAGGGCCCAAGAGACCCAAAAAGATGTTGAAGACTTTCTTACAAGGCGAACTGTTTCATGTTCATCTTCAAGTTATGTCAATAGTGAGATACTTGAAATTGACGAACAAGCGTTGGAGCTTCAACGATTTCACTGCCTCAAAAAGGTCGCCGCGAGTGGCTTTTTGGTTGCCCTCAACCAAAAACGACACGACAAAGTTCAAAGGAACCAACAGACCCTCTATCTGAAAGTCGCAAAGTGATCAAGCAGACACCAGAAGTCAGACAAACATACGCAAAAGCAGAAAGTTGCCACAAAGGCACAATGACAAAACAAAGCCAAGGCAACGACAGGACGAACCAAACGTAGCCCAAACATCAACTCAAAAAGGCCCACCGAAACTCCGAAAGCCCCAAAACAAAAGGAAGAGACATCCCCCCCCCCACAGAAAAGGACAACAGGATGCACTCCACGTTGTTTTCGGGTTCCTCGGGGTCTCCAAGACCCTGACCAGGTCCCCCAGTAGTGCCCTTTTACCCTTTTTGGGAGGGTTCCCCTACTAAAATAGACAAATCCGAGAAGAAGAAAAAAGTGGGTACCAACTTATTCCAACCTCTCAAATCTGGAGGACCTAGCTGAAAGGAAGCATTCCAGCACCCGGGTTTGAATCCCACTGTTTTTTGGACAGTACTTGGGATTTTGATGGTTTTTGGACATGCAAAGAAGCGTTTGGTGGGGGGGGTGCTGTTTTGTTTCGGAAAAGCCTAGAGGATGTTCAACCTTGGTGGTTCCCAGCCATCCGGTTTCTTAGCTGTTTGGATCCTTTCTAGTTGGTTTAGTGGCAGGGTTCCATTTGGGCATGGGTCAAAATTAAACCACCAGGAATTGGACCACGGGTTTGTGTCCATGGTTCCACTTGCCAGGGTTCCATTTGTACCTATTTTGACAACCACAGCCATTTCACCCACAAATCGGAGCAACAGAAATCGGGTCACCGGAGGTGCACTACATCCTCCTCAGCGAGGCCGGTGGCGGAGTACCTCTCTGGGCGGCGGACAAGGGGGTCTCCAAGGCCATGGCAGACGCTGGGCAGTCAGCACCAAAGAAGGAACACTGGGGTCGTCTTTTTTTGGCTGGTGTTTTATGCGGGTTCTGTTTTTTGGTTGGGGTGTTTTTTAGCTGGAACTGGTGTTGTTGTGTTTATTTTTTTGTTTTCCTGGGGTCCTGGTTTTTGGCTGGTGGTTTGTGCTTGGATCGCCAGTTGCGTTCGTTGTTTTTTTCCCCATGCACTTTACCCCAAAAACCAGCAACAGTGACGGAACAAAGTAGCAACCTGGCTATCTAGGTGGATTCTGTCTTTTGTTGGGGTGTTTTAGTTGAAACCGGTGTTGTTTTTTTCTAGCCCCGGCTCGGGGGTGGTTGGTTGGTCGGTCGGTCGGTCGGTCGCAGTTCAGAGTTGCTCGGGGCTGGCTTCGGGTGAGTGTTCCGCTTGCTGCATTAACGAGGGCGGGTCTTGGGTTTGTTTGGGGTTCATTGGGGCGCGGCAAAGGTCTGGAAGGGTTGAAGTTTGACTTTGAGTCGGTTTCGGCTGGCCGGAGCTGATTTGCGCTAGGGCGGCTCGTTGAACAGTAGCTTTTGGGCTGCTTTCGGAATGTGGATGCAAGGGCTGGTTTGGGATGGGTTTTGAGGGGCGTTGCCCCTCTGAATTGTTAAACATCACCTTTTTGGGCAGATGTTTGAAGGCGCCCCCTTTGCCTGCAGAAAGGGTGCCATCTACTCTCACAGGGTAGCGGGCATAGGACAAGGCGGTGTGGTCAAATATGTTGTCAACTATTTATTTGGGTGCCCCTTTTTAACGGGCCCACCAAAATGTGTTTCCTTTGGTTTCCCGTTCAAGCCACCAAACAAGTGGTACCCTCAACAAAAAGGCAAACATGTGGAGTGCGCGCCGATGTTTTTGAGGATTGGTTCACAGCTGCACACAAAGAGTGGGCCAGCTGGAGGTGATGTCGATCTCTCATTGATTGCGTTAGTTTTGTCTCTTCGTGCAGATGCACGAAAACATCTGCCTCGTGCAGTACATTGATTGATCACTGAACTGCATTTGACTCTGCCCTGCGAGGAAAAAATCGCAGTGCGCATGCGTTAAGACTGCAGATGCGCATTGGTCAAGAGTCAAGAACTTCTTTTGTTTGCTTCAGAATATGTGTTATTTTCTCTGTTGGTTTTAAAGGGAATCTATCACGACTGGATTATTTTGTTCAGGGGACTTAAGCAAATGGAGGGCTTGGAGAGCAAACGTCCTTGACAGAGAGGATGTAGGCAACTGCCAGCATGGCCCTCCCGGCAATTCGGGCATGATGCAGATGAGCTCGCCAAATCAAGCCACACACTACTGGTGGGATGCATTCGATGATACTGTGGAGGGATGAACTTCTACACCAGTAGGTGGTTTTGTCCCATAGGGCTTCATCCATTCGCCGCCTTGTGTGGTGGCTTTACATATCACCGCTGTTCAGCTCCAATTGAAGTTCCTTGAGTTTCCTTTGGCAGGGGTCGGGGAAACATTGAGAACCCCCATGTTTGTTGCCACATGATGGGCCGGGCACAGTTCGCTAAGACGTTTGTTGCTTTCAAGTTTAGTAACATATTTAGTAACTTCGAAGACCTAGAGAAGCGGTTCCTTAGCAAACATGTCTTGTTTGTCTGTGTGGACGCTTCGTCTTTGAGGGTACTCAGTTTCAGGTTGTTGAAAAAGGAAGGTTCCAGTACAGCCAGACCATTTTGGAGATATCCGAAGGCAGACAAAGACAAAGCACACCTGGGATGTGGCGCCTAAGTCGTTGCTTAGCTGCGGCCCGGTCTGTGAAGAAATGCTCGAACCGAGCCTCGGATGTTCAGAAGGAGGGGTTCCAGACAGGGGCAATGGATAGGGTGTGTTTGGCGTCTGTTTTGGTGTTTCTGGGGGTCAGGAGAGCTCTTCGGGGTGGTTTGGTGTTTAAGGGGGTCCAGGGGTGGTTGACTTCCCCAGGCAAACCCCTGCGGTTAGGCCACCCAATAGTCAGCATGGTATCCTGATTGAGTGAGTGGATCCCTTTACCAGTTGCAGGGCCTGTTGCCTTCTGGTACCCAGCTCCCGATGAATTTAGGGCCCTCAAAGAGCCGGGTTTTGAGACCAAACACCTCTGGGCGGGGCGTCTACTCGAGTCCGGTCTTTCATGCAAAGCCCCGGCCTCTGGTCTCGGGTTTCAGGTCGGGCCGGGGTATCTGTCAGCATTTTTGGGACCGGTCCCTGTGTTCCTCCAACCTGTAGGGGTCCCCCAAACGGAGCAGACCAGAGGGCTTGAGGAAAATGGTCTTTCGGATGGGCTTTCGTGCGTGGGAGGGTACTCTGCTGCAAAAATATGATGGAACCCAAGAACCATGGTACCCGAATAGAAGATTCCTCTCAAAATGATGTGTTTGTTGGCTTCCGCGATTGAACCTGGTCTTTGAACGGGCCCTGAAGCCTGAAGCCTCACGCCGCTTCAAGCTGGACTTTGGTTGCTTCGAGCCATTGGTCTACCCAGGAGCCAAGAGATAAGGTCAAAGAGCTGGTTTCAGGTGGTCCTCTAAAGCAATTCCCGACCTAGCAAGGAATCGCTGGGCGGTCATTCAGAAGTCCAGCGCCTTTTCATGGCGATGCTGCCACCAAAAACGGCATGATCAAGCTGTTGCATTCCAAGAACCAGCCACAAACAAAAGCACCAAAAGTACACATGGGTGTCGCACCATGCCGGGACACCAAAAATGGTACATCTTCCTTCTCGTTCCCCAAGAAGGGTACCCAAACAAGACACCGACATGTCTTGGTCAAACCCCGCATCCGGCGGCAGCAAAGTGCTTCTGAGGCGACTGGAAGCGATTCGCTGGCACCTTGTCCTGCGGTGGTCTGGGCATGTGGGGCTTGAACCGAGCCTTCTGTGAGAAGGACACAGCAGCTTGACTGAGTTGCCAAACGCACCCACCCAACGACTGTACTGACCCAGAGCGCTGCCTAAAACGGCCGTCGGGTGTTTCAATTGTTTGCCTTTTGTGTGTTCCAGTGAGCTTTCTTCTTCAGTTGCAGGGGCTCGGAGTCTTAAGCATATATATATATATATATATATACAGCTGCAACTGTAGAAATATATATATATATATGTATGTATATATTTCTACTATTGTAAAATATATACATGTATATAAATGTACACATGTAATTATAGCTGCAACGGTAGAAACTTGGTTTAGTTTGCTGTAGTTCCCCCTTGCCAGCCAGATTTCTGAAACGTCAATTGAGTCTTTGGCACCCTTTCATCCGGGCGTTGTGGGTGACAGTAGGTGGCAAGCCAGAGGTTTGGACCTGGTTAGCCAAGCCGCTCGATCGGAAGTGAGCTGGATAGGTGGCTTGATTTGAAATAGAAACGACGAATGCAGCTGTTCTCAGTTGTCAGTTGGGGCCACGTGTTTACTTTTTTTCCCGAAAGGACAGAGTTGAAGTTTAGCAGCTTGCAATTTGGTGACCGGTGGGCTGATTGTGCCATTGCCATAGCCCACCTCTAATTTAGTTGGGAGCTCCTCATTGGATTTCGGATCCCCTTATGGTTGGTAGCTAAAGGGACCAACCATTTTACGGAAGTTCATTTTGAGAAACCGTAATTGTCATGCTTCCTTGGATCTCCACTTGTGCCAGCTTTTTCCGTCTACCCGTTTCTGAGGAGGAGTTGCACGTGTCCAAGTCCGATGAGTCTTTGCTAGTCTCCATCCTGGATGACGCAATGGACAACCTGCTGTCGTGGGCCAAGGTTGGCCTTGGATGCGCTCACAAAATGGCGGAATTTGGCACTTCCCAAGTTCAATCGGCTCTCCGTTGCCCAGTGGGTTGCTTCCTTTGTTCAACATTTTTGGGGGGGAAGGGTTCCAATTCCTTTAAACTCAACCAACCCAAAACAGATTTCCTTTGTTCCCATGGCTACTGGGCATTTGAGATGGTGTTTGTCCATTTGGTGTCCCTTTAGCAGGGCTCCTCGAAAGATACATTTTGCCCAATTGAAACATGGCTTTTCCACCAACAAAAAAGAAACCACCATTTACAAGGCAATGTTCAGGTGTGTAATTTAAGGATCCCTGTTTAACACAAACTTGACAAGGGAACCCTCAGCAAGACACAGATCCACTTCTTGCTCTTTACTACGTGCGGGGCCTTTGAGATCTGGGAGCTCAAACACCTATTACATGAGTGGTACTCACAACCAAGGCTTTTCCCATTGCCCAGTTCCGAAGAACCGGCGACCCTTGGTACCTGCCTTCACCAGGTGGAATCACTGGGTAGGATTTCAGACCTCAAGAACTTCCAGAGGCTACCTCAAAGACTGGCTTCGGCTTTTTGCAGGCTGTCCGGAGGCTCCGATCGGCTTCGGCTTTCAATGGAAGACCCGACCCCGAAGCAGACACCCCGGGAATGGGTGGTTAGGGGTCTCAAAACCAGGTTGTTTGAAGGCCCTAAATCCATCGAATTGGAGCCTGTGGGTAGGGAAGCTTACCTGCCTTTACCACAAGAATTACTGGGTTTTCAGGCATACCCAGCGCTCAAGGATATGTCTCAACCCATCAGGCGGAGCCAAGCTGGTGGGATGAGTGTGCCGCGCTGAGTTTCGCGAACGCTTCGAACATTCCGCTTGGATCATGTGTTTGTTCATTGTTTTTTTGTTGATGTTTTTGTTTGGTCAAAGGGACGGATAAATGGAGACTGTGGTTGTTGTTTGTTTGTTTGTTTGTTTGTTTGTTTGTTTGTTTGTCTGTCTGTCTGTCTGTTTGTTTGTTTGTTTGTTTGTTTGTTTGTTTGTTTGTTTGTTTGTTTGTTTGTTTGTTTGTTTGTTTGTTTGTTTGTTTGTTTGTTTGTTTGTTTGTTTGTGTGTGTGTTTTGTTTGTGTTTTGTGTGTTTTTGTGATGGCCGTGTTGTATGTGATTCGGAGGGGAAATCAAAATCCACTGCCACACGGTTGGTGGTTGATCAACCGTGCTGTTCCGGGCTTCGCATATCCGCGACAGATTTCAGGGCCATGTTCCGCGGCCCCAGATCAGTCCCAGGTAACCGTTTCGCCACGTAGCCCTTGGATCCATGTTCAGGCTTCTCCCCATTTCCCTTGAAACCTACCAAATGTGGCAGTTTGAAAGTTTCAATGGACACGACCGGTCAATTGCACCTGTTCAAGGGGCATTCCAGTGCCCCCTGATGTTTCGGTGGGTTTTTACAGAGACGCACTTGCCCTCAGATCCGAGTTTCACCGACCTTGTTTCCCTAAACATCCCACGTTTTTTCCTTCCAAAAGGTGATCAGCTGTTATTCTTTGAGCAACTGCCAGGCGGGTTCCCTTGGTACATGGAATGAGGCGCCATCGCCATCCGCTCGTCGCCTTCAGGCCGTGCCGTGCGCCTTCCCGCTGGGCTGAAGGAGGGCCGCCATTGCCGGAAGAAGTTGGAGGGCTTCCCGGTGAGGCGCGGAAGGCGGCGAAAAACTTGGCGCGCGGAGATCCGGCAGTTTGGGCCCCGGAAAGACCATGCCGAAAGGGTGAACACAACGCAGACCACATGTATGACAAAGGTTTGCCCAACATATGGCATTGGCCCATGTGTTCGGGATGTGAGTCAATAATGATTTTCTGGACTATTGGGGTGGCGATGTTTACACTTCTAAAGAAGGGGCTGCTTTTGGCAGGGGATTTTTGGAGGTTGAAACCAGAACCAATCAAAGAGGTCTCCGATATGATCAGGGACTTTCAGGTTGACTCACCATGACTCAGAATCTAAATACATGGTTGTCGTTGGGAAACATTTTAAATTTTTGCTTATTGTGGTTTAGTGGGAAATCCCCGCTTAACTGCTAAAATTTAATTTTTTGCTCCCCTTCCCACGTCAACCAAGAATATACCTTTGGTGCATTTTGCCAAGGGATGTTAGGATTTTAACTTTTGGCCAATGGCTTTTCCATCAAACTCAAAGTTAAAAAAACTTTTAGCAGGGCAGCAGAGGTCGCAACCGAATTTTGCTGTTTTGCTGGTTAAACCAGTTTGGTGGGTTTGCCTGTCACGGGTGGCATCGATACCCT